ATAAGTCCAGGGCATTGGATCAGTGTTGATGTGTTTTGGCCCTGAATGATAATTCTGCTTGTTGGAAAGACTGAGGGTTGTTGTGCAACATCTTGGCACTCAGCTCTTCCCTCCTTTCCGGGCCATCTTCTCGCCTCCGTCTCTCTCTCTGTCCCTCGCTCCCCCCTTTCTCCTCCCCGGCTCCCCTCCTAACAGTCCTTCACTCTCCCTGATGCCGGAGGATGCCCGCGGTAACACAAAGAGACAGTGTTCAATCAGGACGGGAAGAGTCAGAGAGGGAGCCCGCCTGCTCAGTGCGACGCCCATTACGTATCGATCTGCGCCCCCCCCCCGCGAAGGGCAGCGAGGGCCGAGGCGTTGCGGTTTGTGTGGCCTCTGCAACGGCGTGTGCGATGATCTGATTTCTTGCAATAAACAAGGGGTCGCTTCGGGGATGTCTGTGGCGCGCATGGGGCCCGCTCCTGAAATTTCTCCGTGCTGATGTGTGCGGCCCATAAGCCCATTGATCTGCCGGGAGAATTAATTCGCTGTGGCGCTAATGCAGGAGGGAGCTAACTCCATGTTGTTAGCCAACGTCAGAACCAAGCTGTATTCCATTAAGCCCTGTAACAAAGGCACAGAGTGCTGCACTCAGAACTGCCCCACATAACGTAAGCCACGTCAATTGTTATTTTTGTTATACACGGCTGGCCTTGGCGCAGGTGTGCTCTGATGAGTAATTTGCGTACGATCGGATTATCCTGATCTAAACGGCAATTAAAAGTGTCACGTGATGAAGAACTGCTGCACATGGCGTAAGCTTTTTATCACTATTACAGTGCCCTGCCCGTTCACCCACGTGTGTGTGTTTGTGTGTATTCGTGCATCGGGGGAGGTTCCCAGGCCTGGAGTTCTAGCAGGCGATGAGGGCCCCCGTCGGCTGTGATGTGTACGTTCTTGCGGAGCCTCGGGCGAAAGGGTGCGTGTGCGTGTCGCGGTTTGTCTCATGCCGTCTGGGAAGATGTGGTTCCCTCATGACAAAGCACTGTAATAGGAGGCTGGGCTTTGGTCATAAAGCAATCGGGATAATCCACCGGTTTTACCAACAAAGCTCCCAGAACACCCACACACAAGATGGCCTGAGTCAGGCTTGAGAGGAGGAGGGGGGGGTAAAGAGGGTGGGAAGAAACCAAAAGAAAAGAGGGAGAGAAAAAAAGTGCTTTTTTTCCAGCCCGACAAGGAGGAGGGGTTAAATATCAGATGGAGACTTTTTGTGATAATCCTTAACCTGATCAAGCAACGAGAGTTAAACCCTTTCAGGTGTTTACCATCTAAGTAAGTGAAAATGTGCTTGCTGCAACTTGCCCCCCCCCACCCACTGCTTCTCCAAATCACACCCGCACACACACACACACACACACACACGGCCGGGTGAGCAGATGAAAGCTGACAGATAAGCCCTTTTGCTTGCAGGTGCTGGAGCAGGGTCCGTGCATCTTAAAGAAGCACATTGGACAGATATTCATCTCAGTCATTCGTCCTGATCTTAACACTTCTCTCTATCTGTGTCCACCGACTCTTTCCCTCAGACGGGCCGAGTGTCAGTGGGTGGACGCTGCGCATGGTAATGCTGACTGCCGCAGATCTGGAGCAGATTTATGAGGGGGGGAAGTTGGAGAGTTTCCCACAGAATTCTCAATTCAATTCATTGTAAAAGAACGTGTTGTTCAATTCCCATGACAGAATTGATTCAAATGTTTTTCAGCAGGTTTCTGTGATGTCACAGACGTGTTCGTGCCAGAAGTCGACTCAAGTTAAAGCCGAATGCACAGTACGTCCATGATGAAGAATTAACTCTATTAAATTAAATTAAAGTCCAATTAAATCAACCCTCATTTTTCTCCTCCCCTAAGGTTGGCAGTGCCAACGAGCCGAGTGCCAAGTCAGTGCCTCTGTCGTTTGCTGAATGGGTATGTTGAGCGTATGTAACACGAAGCCACATTAGCTCGCCTACTCAGCGGATAAATATCGCCGACAAGCCAGCCTACTCGCTAACAGGTCGACGTTTCACCTCATCTCAATAACGTTACGCTCATGCTCCGATTTTAAACTGTGATGTGTCACCAGGATATCTCTATTAACAGTGACGGGTAACGACACTCTGGGCTGTCACATCTAATGATTTAGCGTCTTACACTTATAAAGCAGAAGGACAAGTTTATGACTTGAATGAAGTCACACTTGTTGCACGTTTAGTTTAATACAGTGTCACGTGTTAAGTCCCATATGTGTGTTTCAAACGTTTACATACAATTCAACAAAATCAATGGCGCAACGAGTCAAACTCCAACAAGAAAGAGAGGGTCAAAAACGTTTTATTCAAATTGTTTTAATTGAGGCACAACGTGTGTGGCCCGCAAGAAGTCAAGGAAAGAAAAAGAAAAATCGATAGCAGCGTGGATTTCTGGACTTCATTGGCTAATATAATGCATCACATTTGCAGACTCAGCATAATCATTTCCTTATGACTCCCATTGCACACTGCTCCTTAAAATGATGTCTCATGATAAGACACAGGTGGCAGTGCAGATGGAGCCATAAAAAAGGCTTTCTTGGAGTAGCAATTCACTTTAGGGAAATCTCAGCAGCCATTATATAATTTAGCAAATAATTAAAATCTCTGCAGCCTTGTTACTTCCCTCCCGCCGTCTCCTCTGTGTGGTGTCAAAGACGTTGATTGCAGAACGTAGCAAAAACTGGGAACTGGGAAAAGTCCCTGCGCCGTTCCCTCTCATAAAGCTGTTTTGTTTATAGTTTATCTTCAAACAACATGTCTGTATTTGCTCATAAGGCCTACTAGTCTCTTCCTGTCTGCACCTCCATTCCTCATATTTCAAACAACCCCTTTCTCTGCCTTGCTTTTGCTTGCCCGCCCTTTAAGTCACTTTACAAAGCAATGTGTGCCATTAACCAACTGGTAATGTAAGGTTGCCTGGCACATGGATTATAGACTTTGAAGGCTTTTTTTTCTCCAACTGTACCGCAAAGGGCACAAAACTTTTTATTCAATCCAACTCAATTTCGGTTTCTTCCCTGTCATTTAATTCCCTTTTCAAATGAAGCATTACACGGACACTCGGTCAGATTTTAATACATCAGAGAGGGAGCACATGTACTTGCCAAAGCCCACAAAGAAACCCTTTAAGCACCTTTCCATGACCGAGGCTTGCAAATGTAATTGCTGGTTTCACCTCCAGGCTTTTAAGAAAAGAGGAAGGAGTACAGATGGATGATTTCCAGTCCAATCTCCACCCATACATTTCTAAGGAGATGCTGCAGAGTGGGGCAGAAAGCAAAGTAATGGACTCAATCCCTCTCTCCCTGTGTTAGTATGTTCTATGTGTCTGTATCTGCTCGCCAGTGCTGCATTTTAAAAGCACATTTTACTCTCTACCTTCAGCAGCATCCTCCTGCTTTTACATGAGTGGTCTTGCTGTGTTCCACTTACACTAACTAAGAGATGTGGGTTGTTTTTTTTTTGGCATCCGCTTCCTCAGTCCCTTGTGAAGTGTAATAAACACACACACACACACACACGTTCACAGACACGACAGCGTGACAACGAAAGCATGCTGTTTTGTCCGGCAACCGTCAGTGCCAGTAATGAGGCTAAGTGTGGCCAGGCGGACGGACAAGTGAAAGAAACGGCCACAGAATCATTGGATGTGTTTGATTTGCCTCCACTAATTCAAAGAGACCATCTGATAAATTGAGAGGATGGGATGTACATCAGAATAGCAAGAGGCGCCTCTTTGTTGTTCCCCGATTCCCAACCAACTCACACCCCGACCCCCGTTAGAACGCCCAGAGGGGAGAATGTTTCCCTTGTGTGTGTGTGTGTGTGTGTGAGAGAGAGAGAGACAGAGCTGGGTTGCTAGGAGGTGCGAGTTTTCAGGAGGTTCTGTGGAAAAGAAATGAAAGAGCACTTGTGTCAACATTGTGACGGCAGCAATGAGCCACAAAGCCTCCGGCCCTCCGAGCCCTCCTGCTCTCCTCCTTTCGGTTAGATTAAAAACCCTTTCTCTTTTTATCCCGATGTTTGACTTGTAACGTCTAACGTTTAAAATGATGACCGTAAATCGCGTTGTCTAAAACAAATGTTTTGAGAATTTTTTTGTCTTTGATTGATAGTAAAGCGGGAAGAGGCGCACAGGAAATGGAGGAAGAAGGGGGGGGGGTTGATATGCAACAAAGGTCCCTGGCGGGATTCCAGGCGGGGTTGTTGTTGCTGTCATGCGGTGTGCGTTTACAGACCGCTGAGCCACTGGGACATCCCGTGTTTGTGATGAGGACGTGGGCCTCCTTGTTGTTTAAACTAAATTGTGCATTTCTGCGTGAACTCGGAGGGCTGTCAGAAGTTCAGCACGACCGCATGTGGCTGCCTGTGTCATTTTGAGGGAGAGCGGCCGATCCTTACGCCGCAGTTTACTCATTTATCATTCTGCACATCTGCAACGCTTCGAAAGTGACTCAACCAAGCGCCACTCCTTTATTCTTTGTTGTCAACAGCTGATCTTATCACAAGGTCGTCAGTGCGTGACATCATGCGTTGGATGTTTATGTTTATGTGCATTCTTCTGCAGCTCGTTGATGGCTCAAATCCTACGCTCCCCTCCTCCCCCCCGAGCAGTTGTTCCAGATGTTCGGTGTCTAAGGGGAACATGCTACTTTGGAAACTTTCCCACGTGCTATCTGGTGTGGTTGACTCTGCGCTGGCCTCCGACTTCAAAACAACCCGGCTCTAAAAATAAGTCTGAAGCCCTTAATCATTCCGCGGACCCTTCGTGTCTCGTAGTCAGCTTACAGAACTTACAGGGCACATTGACCCCCCCAGGAGTCACGCTGTAACGACCGAATGCATTTCATGGCTCTCAGGCTGCGTTCAAAGGCCAACGAGCATCTGATTGTTCTTTACGAAACCACACAAGACTATATGAAAAAAAACAAAAACACGACCACTGTTTCTGTGCCATAATGTTTTATTTCAACTATACATGCCGTGTTAAAAAAATCAACAAAAAACGTCATGAAACAAAGACCGTCATTATTATTTACACATTCACAGTACAACTTTAAAACATATCTACAGGCTGAAATACTCTGGAGATCATCTGTACAGCTAGTCTGGCATCGCCACGTTGCACAGCATTCAAATCAAAATAACATGACAAATTCCGGTTCATCTGCACATCCACAGAGCTCCGACTGAAATATAAAGGCTTCAATTTAGATTGCAACAGAAAGACCCCGTTCATATTGCAATGTACAAGGCAGTTGAGCGTCGCATGTCGAGTGTGTGTGTCTGTTATGTCGAGCGTGCACGCGTGTGCACGTGTCGGGTAGAAAAGATGACAGGCAGAAAGTCTTTACATACAATCATCACTTGTAAACAAAACGTGGCTTTGGGTCGAACAGGCAACTGACCCCTCGGATATGATGGCAGATGTCACCCGAACCGTGTACCCAAGAGAGTCGCCACTACTGGCCAATAGAAAGGGATTCCTGTCGCTGTGATCCTGGGGACTCGCGTCTTCCATGTGAACACTGTGTTAATGCGTTGGCTGTGGACGGGATGTGCTGCGTTGAGGCGACTGCTACACACGGCGAGATCTAACCACCCTACATCCCACTGTCAAGGAAATACATTCACTGCATGGCACCTCCATGTGGTGGATTAACACCGTTCCTTTCAACACCGGCAGTAAAAGGAAAACAAGGTAAAAATGGGTTTACACCCAAAATAAAGGGTTTTACTGTGCTTTTGTGAGACTAGCATTAATAAGTGGAGTCTCTTGTCAGTCAATTTTCTTTTCCGCATCACTTCGGTTCGTGATATTCCAACACATCTGGCTGATCCTTAATCCTTAATATAAAACTTGATAATATAGAATATGACAATAACATACAGAGGACCAATTGACATTGCCAATATTATATACTGTAGTAATTTGTTTTGTGAATAAGGCACACAATGCACAGATTCAGGTTCACTAGCCTAAAAATATTTATACTCCTTATTTATAATATTTAAGTATATACAGGAACTCGTCATTCCCAGCATGACTCATTTGGACACATTGGTAATTTGTTGTGTTGATTGTACACTGGCCAGTCGCAGGGAAGCTGCACAGGGAACACGGCAAATGACATGGGGATGTATTGTTCTATGGTCAGATTAATATACCTTTTAATAGGGTTAAAGTAGAAGGAAAGTTCTAGTGTTATTGTATTAAGGGAGACACATGTTTAACAGAAGTGCCCTGAAATGTAAAATGTTGGATTAATTTACACGGGCTTACATTGGTGTTGCTTTAGTTTCTTATGGTAAAATCTTTAAATAACACAGTAAAACATTATGAAGGTAAATCCTTTTGTTCATAATTAATATATAGAATGAGATGAGAAATGTTTTTTCTTAATACCATTGCTACATAAAGAAAGAAGTCTCCTGAACCACCAGTAAAGTTCCTACAAAGGGGCAGTGGAGGTGAGGGGAGTTTTTAATCCTCGCGAGAAGCATTCTTCCCCTTGTATGTGTTTAAACGGTGTGGTTGCTGAAAACTATACTTCCTGGCCTGTAATACAACACACACACACACACACACACACATTCACAAAAAAGCCGAATCGCGCTCCCGTATCGATGCCTAGTCTGGTAGAGTGAAAAATGCATGAGTCTAAAACCAATAGCAGCAAATAAAAAATATTTCTGGGTGAGTCCCTCTGCTACTTTAGACATGGCCACCTTCACTTAATCTTAACCTAAACACCAAAAAACCTTACAGGATGATTTTTTTTAAATGAGTTCTTCTTGATTCACCTTTGTCAGAAAAGACCAAAGATGTAATAATATTATTGAGATGAAAGACAGGGATTTAGGTCTTAGTCAGGGATTAATTTGCATCCTCTGGCATGTTGCCACTCTCGATAAACAAGTGTGAAGGCCCAATGAGTGTACTACCTTTACACAAATCCGCTTTCCAACCAACACACACATTCACATGCATCCTTTTCTCTGTCTGCTCACCGCTCGGTCCAGCTGTCCACGCTTATATGTATCTCAAGCAACACACACACACACACACACACTTTTTGGATTTCCCTCTCCACTGCCCCGAGCCATCCTGCTAACAAAGGCATGGCATACTCCTCCTCTTTGTTCAGTTCACATTAGTGGGAAGACAGCGCTCAAGGGCAGTGCCAAATGAGACCCATTCTTCAAGTATTCAACGGCTTCAAACCCAGCGCTCCACACACGGACGCCGAAGCGGACCCACCGGTGTCATAAACCTCGTACCTAATATTGGAACGGGAGACACCCGAGCCCGGATGGAGCGGGGGCCAGCGGATTCCCCGCCGTCCCCTGTTCATGTCCTTCGGCTACCGTGACAAGGGAGGGAGACGGAGTTGAGGGGGAGCGAACAAAGCCCCAAGGAGTTTCTTTGGCCACGTGTGATTTTCCCTTTATCATGGTGTGGGTGAATGTGCATATCATTTAAAGGGGGGAACACACCTCAAGTCGATACACAAACACACACTAGGCCCCTCCTCCCAAGCCCCCAGGGCTCAAAAGCTCTACAGTCTAGTCCAGGAGCTCACTCAGAAGTGTCCAGGCTCTTTTAATAACTGTACTTGTTGACCACTCGCATCTGTGGAGTCTGTGGTGAAAACCCGTTGGGTTTAGGGGGCACATCTGGCTTTAGCGAGGGGGTCCTTTTGAGCCCTGTGCGAGGGAGTGAGCCATACCCGCTGTAGCTGCCCTGTCGCGGAACAGACGATTGGTGGGCTGAGTGCATTCCCGCCCCCATCACTCCGCCTTGGGAGTCGAGTCTGGAGGGGGGTGTTGGGGGCATGTAACCCCCTCTGTTCATACTGTGCTGGCGAGACACAGACACCCCCATGGTTACCCCGTTTGGCGAGGTGGATAAGGAGTGCCTGTGAGAGGCACTCCGGTGGAGTTGATACCCCCCTCTTTGCCTCTCCAGGGTGCCCCCCATGCTCAGGCTGCCCGTTGGCGTTGTGGGAGTGGTGGGCAGAGGTACATCGACCCTCTTGGTGGGGCTGTTCCTCGGCAGGGAGGAGGAGGGGGAGTACAAGGAAGCCTCCCGGCTGGGCACCTTGGGGGGTAATTCAGTCAGTTCCTCCATGGGCTCCAGAGTGAGCTGTGGCCGTGGGCGGGGCCCCGATCCCTCTGGAAGAATGGCCTTGGGGTTGGCCACTGAGTCATTAAGGTGTTTTAAAAGGTCATTTAGGGTATTTCTGGCATCCACAGACCTTTTCTGCTCCTTCCTACCTCCCTTAGAGTCTGGGTTCCTCAGCTTCCTTTCAGATGAATGCGGCAATGTATCCTCTCCACTCTCGAGGTTAGAGTGGTCATGTGTGGCATTGGGCAGGACGACGGCACTAGGGATGTGGGAGTGTCCCAAGGCGAGGTGAGGGTGGTTGGAGTTGGAGTTGGGAGGAGCACCGGCAGAAGAAAGAAGGAACTGAGGACTCATGGCGGATGAGTTGGACTCCTTGCGAGGTCCACTGGCCTTTGCATAAGCCCTCTCCCACTGGTTTTTGATGGGCTGCAGGCTTTTCTGCTGAAGCACAGGGGTGGACTCAGGTGTAGGCAGGGCAGCCAGCTCAGGGGGCTGACAGCCATCCCGCAGGATCATGGTCTTGGTGTCTCCGTTGGGTGAATTCAGGTCTTTGCCGTTGCTCAGCAGATTGGTGTAGAGCTTGGGAGAATCGATGTTGGTCTGGTACTCCTAAGAATGTGACAACCAAAATCAAAATAGTAAGATAAGACATAGTTAGTCGCATATCTTGAGATACAGCATTGGACCTGGTTGTATGACTGTACCTTTACAGGGCTGTCAAAGAGGCCATTGAGCTTGACGAAGCTTCTAGTGGAGTCCGAGCAGGACGGTGCACACTCCGCGTCCTTGTGGACATGTCTCGGCTTACGGAGGAATGAGTCTCGGTAGCAGAAAACAATCAGACCAGCCAGGAGGGCACCCATGAGAAACGCAGCAAACACGCAGGTGATGAGGATGTTCATGTGGACCATTTGGTTGGTCTCGCCTGCTTGAATATCCCACACTCCTAAAAAAACATAGAAGCATTGGTTAACCCCAACATAACATGACATAACATGCTAAGTGAAGCATCCCTCCCCGTTTAACAGCAGAAATGTGCATGTTTGTGTGAGAACACCACCATGCATGAGTTTCTGATTGAACCCCCCCCCCCCCCCCCCTTCGAGGATCCAGTCAAACACAAATATTAACACACTCCTATTCATCCCAAGCCCAGATGAAGAAGAAGAAAGATGGAAGAAGCTGTTAGGTACCCACATCCATTTCGCCATCTATGAAAAGCAGTGCTTTGTTAGTTCAGAAGGGAAGACTTAAAGTGTTGACTTGATCCACGCTCCACTAGCAGCTTTCTGTCAAGCGTCTAACCGCTACCAAAGGGTTAGGAGAACACTGTGATGGAGAGCCAAATCATTCTGTTGGTACAAGAGCAAGAACCAGCAGGAAGCTGTTCAGAGGAAAGAAAAGCAGCTCTTGCTGCTCTACTGAAGGTTTGTTAGTGACCACAGACATTGAAAGAGTTAGTCATCCACCGCACGGCCACAGTAGTGGTGTTTCCGAGCAGGCCCACTCAATGGTCTACCAGCCAGGGTAAACTCCTACTAGTGTTAGGGTGCAGTCGAAAAGTCCCTTTCGCACAGGAACGTTGCTAAATTAGTGAAATGAAACGGAAGAATTGATGTTGCCGCCAAGGATAAGAGCTGTTCAAATTCCCTCAATACTAATGAAAGCTGCTTCACTGGGCCAATGCTTCCTTTCTTAGCTCCCCTAGCATAGGACACACTGGATCTTTCTTTACCAAAGGAAAGAGGATAATGCCGTCCAACGTTCCCTGAGGCAGCAGCATCATTTCAAGTGACCATTCGGCCGCCCGTGAAAACAAACAACAACATGCCTATCTGGCACGGGTTTAAAAAGGGTTTTCATGTAGTCATTAGCTTGTGTGATTCACGCTCACGAACATAGGGTGACAATCCTTTTGTTTTAAACAAAAACAAGTAAGGCGCCACGCTTGTCGTTGCCTAATTGCTCAGTCTCCTTCAGACTTTTGACCCCTAGGCCGTCTTCCATGGAGATCAACAAAAAGCGATTCCGAAACAAAGTTAGAAATCTTTTCCACTGCAGCCCTTGAGTTAGAAAATGTACAGCGCAGCTAAATCCAAGCCAAAGATTTGAAAGAAAAGGTTTTGAGAACTGCTAGTGTAGGGTTTAATGATTAGAAAACTATGATTAAAAAAGTTAAAAGAAAGAAAGAACATAAGGAAATTTTATAGAAAGAAAACAATAGTAACATAAATATATTACATAAAATATAATGTGTAAATCAACATAGATTATGTATGAGAGTGTTTGAAAAAGAGACAACATTTTAATCTGCTACATCATCTAACGGAAAGACTAAAAAGCTGTATTTATTTGCGTATGTGAGTCTATGTGTGGATTCACATTAGTGTGGCTTAGTGAGAGCTATCAGATCAGGCTCGTTGCAGCATGCTGGCTGCCTCCCTGCGGGCCTTACCCTCGTGCCCCCTTGGGATAGAGTCTAAAGAATTAGAGTTGGCTGGGTCATCCTGCGGCACAAGGTCTGAGCCGTAGAGCTCTGGACCAGGCCCAGAGCTGGGGCTCTGAGTGGGTATGAGTACTGGGGGGTGTATGGGCCCACTGGGGTGGGCTGTGACTGGCGTTGTTGAAAACTCCATGTCTGTGGTGACAAACAAATTGTTAACAAACTGTGCAGACGTGGGTGAAGCATACTGTTATCATCCCGGTTAGTAGGCATGGGAATTGGGTCATTTTGTGAGGTTAGTGTCCGACAAAATAGGAACAAACCGTATCACAGTTCACGTTTACAGACCAATGAATGCAAACTTTTCTTTAGACAATTTGGAAGGGGAAGAAGGAGAGGATACAGCGATTCAAGGACAAGTCGGTACACAACAATGAGGATGCCAAGGTATGGTGGGTGAGCATGCAAGAAGGAAGAGGAATTGGAAATGATGAGTGGAAAGGAGGAAGTGAATCTGTGCTGAGATAGAGCAACGATGTCGCCTACGAGTCTGCCGTTTGGCGACGATGAGAACGAAGCAGGTGATTAGCATTCGGGAGGTGTTTGGTGAGAATAGATGAATGGTGACGGTGGTGGAAAGACAGGGTTGGAGGTGCTGAACTCAAGGAAAGAAACCATTTGAGTAAAAGATCAAACTAACCAGAGGTAGGGTCGCCAAATGATTTGTAATCTGGCGCTGATGTACTGCCCAAAAACGCTAAAAGAATTAAAAGGACAAGATATCAGTATAAAGGAATTCAGGAGTAAAAAATTAAATTCCTAAGAGACACAAAAGAGTGCAGTTTATTCGGTTTAACAATAAATAAATAAAGGCACCCGCTGGCAGTCTCCTTTTCTCACTGGAGCCCTCTGGTTCTGATCCATACTGAGGTTCGGCCGGGGTCGTGTTTAGCTGGTACAAACGGAGGGCCGGCCGGTTAAATCAGCGAAGGCCGGTTTTCTGGCCATCGGATATCGTCCGACCTCCACCATTTGCACCGGCTGAACATGACCCAGGACTGTACATGTCCATGTCTCTGCCTCACAGGTGGCCATGTACTGTATGCAGATGTGTGTGTTAATACTGCACATAGACTTATGTAGGGGCAAGTTACTGAGTGGTTACTGGTGCGAGTGTGCAGGCTCATGGTGTCTGTGGAGATGGCGTTTGTGTATACTGCACGTGTCAGCGTATGTGTATCCGTGTGTGTGTGTTTGCACGTGTCTCAGGGTGAACGGCATGGCATGGAGATGAGATTCGTACCGTGGCAGTCTCCCAGGTGGGCAGTGTTTCCCAATTCAATGTCTTGCTCATATCCAGTCCTAAAAAGAGAGCAGAGAGGAGACAGCGGGATTAATCAAATGCTGCAAACGTTCATTATCTTATTTTCTCATCTTGCGATCTTTGCAATTCATATTGAAGCTTGAACTCACAAAACACCCGGCTGTATCCTCTCACAGACCCCGTGAGACATCCAGCCACAGTAGGGATCCCTCGATGCAATGCAGGACCTGGAGCAAGACAAACACACCATCAGAACACCGGGTTTAATCATTCTGGGAAGTGCTTTGCAATCATTGCACTTGACTGTCTGAACATTAACCAAAAGGCATAAGATTAAGCTCCCCCCTTTTTTGTACGGAATTTACTGAAACACAAAACAATAAAGTCACAAGCCTGTGACCGACCGCGCGGAGCGCATTTTAACCCCCTACGCGTGCAGCGGCGCGCGTCACTTACTTGTGGCAGGAAGAATGCCTTTCACAGCGACTCAGGGGAATACGGATGACACAGCTTGAAAAGGCGACGTAGAGGCTGTGCGCCTCTTTGTCCACGTGCAGCGAGAGGACGCGCTTGTCATCCTCGCGGTTAGACAGGCACCTGGGAAGGGAAGAGAGAAACCTGATCAGAGGTTTAACGGATAAGTCGGTCTACTGTTTCAGTCTCAGTAGATTTAATCACTTGTTAGGTGGAGGAGTCACATAAGCTTTCTCTCACAGTTTAAAAGGATTTTAACCTCTAACACACCGCGGGGTGCGTTCTCTCATCCCCAAATAAGGACAAAAAGAAATCAGACTCATGCTGAGCATGCACAGAAAGTAGACAGACGCGGCCATCTGGCCCAGGAAGGAGTTGCAGACTCAGCCAGAAGGGGAAGAGAAAAAGAGAAGATAGAGATAGAGAGAGAGGGTGAAAATCATGCGTGTTCCTACTTTGCCCTGTTGAAGACGTCGATCTCCTCCAGTAGCACGCTGTCATTCAGAGACACAGAGGAGGTCTTGGCTAAAACTTTGAGGACAACCCCAGACTCGGCCCCGATGAACACCACTGTGAAGTTCTTGTGAGGTCCTGCTTCATTGTCCACAGCCAGCGCTGTCAGTCTGTACCTTCACACACAGCAGAGGAGCAGCAGTTACTCACTGTCGGGGTTTTAGCATTCACATTTCTTGTGATGACTTTAAACGGTAATGCAATGTAAGACGTTTTGCAAGTAGCGGTGGAACATAAACAAGAGTTTGGTCTTTGGCATACCTGACGCGAGTCTTGGTGAACCAAGGCTCGTCCCCAATCGAAGGGACAGCTGTGTCCATGAGGGGGTGGGACTTGATGAACTGCAGGGTATCGTCCGGGAACTCGATGGAGCTCTTTAAGGACGCAGCTGGACCATGACCCGCACAGCAGCCGGGTCTGGGATGGAGGATGCACATGAAAAGAAGGCAAAAGGTCAAAGATCAGCCTAGACGATCACACACGGGGGAGTAATAATAGCGTGTATTGAAATGGATAAAAAGGCCAACGGGAGGGTGGGGGGAGGGGGGCAGGTGCTTATTAGGATCACAAAAAGGCCTCAGCTGGACACATAAAATATACATATGCATGGTTATCGTCCATTAATGATTTACTGGGGTAATGAGGTGCTTTGTGGACTTTGTGTTTTGGACACAGGGCTGGCCTACAAATATACGTACGTGCTGGCGGTAAACACGTTAAAAATGCAACATGTCTAATTATGCCAGATAAATAATTAAATCATCAGCAGATGGTGAGTGTGTGTGCTGGGTCAAAGATAATAACCTGGTTCCTTACTAGTGAGAAAGAGTTGATGTCATTCAGTTTAAACTGGACAAATAAGGGTTAAGAAAATAAAATAAAAATATCAGATATTAAACAGCTGGTGAATCAAGAATGTATATGTATAAAATCTCAAACCCTCTTTTGGACTTTCTTTTTCAAGCATTTTTCTACCTAATATTTTTTTACTTTTTGTTCTCATGATATTGTCAAACGTAAAATATTTGGGGGTTTTGTCAAAACATTTTTCAACTCTATAAACTCATTTTTTGACTTCCTTCCCATGATATCAATTTTTTCCATGACATCTTTTTGAAAAAAAGTCCAAATATTTCACGTCAAAAATGTCAAAAAACATATTTAAAAAAAAGTAAAAATATGTACGGTCGAAAAAAGGCATAGAAAAAGTAAAAAGATATTATGTCGAAAAATGTTTTGAAAAAAAAATCAAAATATGTTAGGAAAATGTAATGTTGAAAAAAAGCATAGGGTCAAAAATTTTCCTGGGAGAAAAAAAATATGATCCTCACCGAGGTTTGGGGAGCTTCTCCTCTGGAAATGGAGTCCACACAGAGTCAGGAGTCTTCTGCTCTTTGAACCGCCCCAAGAATACCGCCTCTATGTCCGCCATCGAGAAAGCACACACTGCTGACCCTGGGATACTGTGGAGAAAAGAAAATGCATCAATGCACCACCACGGATGACTCCTCAATTTCTCATTTCCTGTCCTCTGCATTGGTGGTTTTGTCCACCTGAAGCAGCCGGGCCTCACCTGTTCATCTGAGTGGTGAACACACCAACCACCGAGAGGACTCCGTTGATGTTGATGATGTCAGTGATGGACTGAAGCACATCAAAGTAGAAGAAGGATTCCCCCGGCACGGAGCAGTTCAGCCTCGCCTTTGCAAAAGACGTCCAGTGCTTCTCCAGGACCCGCTGTGACCCGCCCACGTCATTCTTACAGATCCGGGCGACTCGGGAGTACACAACCTGCGAGTTGCACAGGTTTTAAAAGGGAGGTGAGGGGAAGAGGACGGAAGCTGAGCGAACGTCACTAAAAACACTTCAACCTGCTGAATAAAACATCCCCATCCTGTAGCAACTCGGGATGGACCACATAACAAACACACGCGCCCATCTTAAACTTTTTGTGCGCAGATTGTTCACCCGGACCGGAGCAAATGTCTAAGCGAAGAGCATCCCATTTGCCTCGAATGGCCCTGGCGCAGTGGAATGTGAATACGTCTTTGATTGCACTTATTACCAGAGCTTAGCGTATGGATGAGGTGTGTGAAGCGGTCGGTTTTAATTATTTACCGGCGCAAACCTCCATCGGAGGCCAGGTGTCACCCAAGCATTAGTAGGGTTGAAATATTTATTGGCTGGTGGTCGACGGAGGACGCTGGTTTCCCCGTGGCTCGGCCGGACCGGCACGGTCCAATCTGAAAGTTGGCTTCAAACGGAGCAGCCTAATGCCCTCTGTCCGCGTCAGACACAGGGAGACAAATCCTCTCACCGCGTAAAGGTTTTACATTAGTAGAACACCACCAGCACACATGGCGGTTGAATGTATTCTAATGCGATGTACCGTCCTCGCCTGAATGGGTCACATTACCGCTGAGGCCGCTTGTGGCAGAAACGCAGGCACCGAGGGAGGTGTAAGCCTTTTTTTGGTGTGGGGGGGGGGGGGGTAGATAAAGGCCTGCATACTGTATCTGGGTGGAATATGTAATGCATTATGAACGGCAGGTCTTACCTTGCCCAGATTGCTGTGCTCCACCGCAATCTCCCGGTAGAAAAAGTACACGTAATTCCCATACTCTGCTGCGTGCAGGAAATGAGGTTCTGAGGGAGAGACAGAAGCAGAAAGTTGAAGTGTATTTCTGCACCGTCACCACCACTGTGCATGTTGAATATTTCAGCGATTTGTACATGGCTGTAGATGACTGGGGGTGACCTAGATTTCCTAGGAGAGAATAGGGCCAATCCTCGTGGAGCTTGGCGGGGAAAGGAGAGCTTGCTATCATTCCAAAAACAGCTCTGACAGCCACTCACATACATACATCATGCAAAGGCACCGGGGCCATTCAGCTGGCTGGCAGGCGGACGAGCGTTTCTCCAAAATAGAGATGGGGAGAGAGAGAGAGAGAGAGAGAAATAAAGATTGAGAGTGATGAAGAGCCAATCGCTTACCTTTCAGCCATTTGGAGTCGTATTTGATGGTCCTCAGGGCTGATCCATCACCCATGCTGCGATAGATGACGGAATCACTCGCCTGGAAGTCCGCTACAGTAGCCGAATACAGCTTCCCCTCTAAAATAAACAAAACAGAACCGTCACAGTCACTAAAAACTAGGATACTCTAGTCAATGCCGTGATGTTTATCTTCTTCTTAAAAGGCTTGATTAGCCACCGTGTTGTGGCTGCGGGCGCCGTTTCACCGCGGCGAATACACAGAGGTGCTAATGAGAGCATAAGTAGGAACCTATTAGTTCTTCTTCGGGAGGACTAACTGTGTGCAGAGGCGGCCGTGTGATTGAACCTCACCAGCGAAGAGGGCGACGTTGGTTTGCTTGGAGTCGAACGGGCATCGTGCCAGTCCATTGATCTCCTCCCCGTCAAACTCAAGGTTATCCAGCTGAGGAGAGCACAACAATCACCCACACTTTAAACATGGTTTTGTCAAGCGACAAAGCGAGAACCAGCCCACGCATAGACCACTTCAAACCAGTGCATATTTATTCGAACGAGAAATGAAAATGAAGGGTGTGTTACTCGAATCGGCCTTTGTGCACATGTGAGCGTACTAACCCTGTAGTATCTGCACATGGGGTTGAAGCCGTTGGTGCCGCAGATGAACACCAGGTCGTCGTTTCTGGGAACCAGCACTTTGATGAAGTTGTGGCACTCCTCCTGAAAGCGGACACACGGCGCGTTTAGAGGCGGCCGGCTCCTTCTCTCACCCAAACGTCTGCAGGCGGCCTCTTGTACTTACTCTGTGTTTTCCCTTGACGGCGCACGTGTCTCTGTCCGATTGGCCCGATCGCCATGTTAGCTTCTGTGAAAATCAACACGGGAGCATTAGACGCCCGCGCGGACAACTAGCAAATCACGTCCGCCTTTTTCCACTCCCTCAGTTTTCAACCTGTCACAGTTTGCGATGAATGTCTCTGGGTTTTTGAAGCGGCCCGTTTAGTGTGTGCGGATTGAGAGAGTCTTACCCGGTAAGGAATGATCTCATTCCTGTAGGATTCTCTCAGGCTCACCAGGTACACCTGATCTCTGTGGACGCACAACAACACAACACACAGCTCGGTGACACAGCACAACCATCATCGGAAACACACTTTCAAGCTTTTCTGTTTTAAAGAAGGAATCTGGGGCTTTATCGGTGTCGTTTTCTAATAGTAACAAACACATTCTGATTAAACAGAAATTCAGGTCTCATCTTAAAAATACAAGTTCCAGCACATCAGATGGTTCTTTGTCTTTAGATTCTTCGAAGGACTTGAATGCATAATAAGCAGCCAATTTGCATTGTTTCCCCGATTTTTCTGTTTATTAGCCATTCTGAGAATATTGCCATGTGCGGTACTTGTCATTAGATGATCTAATTCACTGTGAATGTTTTCTGACTCCTCTCGTGGCGGGAAATGAACAACCATTTTGTTCGAAGTAATATAAAATCCGAGGGAAATAGGTTAAAACCAATTTCTCTGGCTAGATTTATGTTAAGAACTGAAAATATAGATATTCAAATTACTGCATAATGTGAACAACAAACTGAGGGCTGCAGAGTGGATGCATATTACATTTTTCACAAAGCTGCCTGTGACATGAAAACCCGACTAGCCTCTCTGCTGTCCCATTTACCACGACGACCACTCACTGTTTGATTATTGCCTCGGTTATAAGAAAATGTAATAAAACAATGGGGATCAGATTTTCTGTAGAGAAACAACATTTTGCTTCCTATTGAGTAGAAAAAAAGTGAATTCTCCGGAATGGCAAAAGGAGGATCCACCTGAAAACCGAGACACAAGTGGCGGTGATTACAGAGGTTCCAGCAGTGGGAGTTTTATGCCGTAGATTTCCTGCTATGATATTAGTGCTGGCAGTCAGATTAATCCTACGGGCAATAAATACAAAATGAGACATGTAAAGATGCCAGGAAATCCCTAACCGAGCTACAGGCCCGTATGAGAGACGCCTTTTCTCGATCAATACCGGCCGTATACAACAAATGCAGGCCCAAAAGCGACAGATCCAATAACACTAAGAGCCCCCCCCCCCCATTACACCACTGTTTACGTGCCAAGGAGTGACTGAGTATATGAGTGTGGGGGATGTGTGAAAGAGAGAGGAATGCGTGCGCGTGTGTGTGTTGAGTTTACCTGCCGGCGATGAACAGAGTGTCCTGTATCTTAGTCATCAGCTGAAAGTCCAGGCGATGCTGGGACTCGTTGCCAGAGGGCCGGCCTCTGAACACGGGGTATCTCCGCGCAACTGTGAAGGCATCACGCACGCTGTTAGCGGGGGGGGGGGGGGGGGGGACTCTTGGTTGCGCAATAACGCTCTTTGCCACGTTTAGCTGTACTGATTAGAAAGAAATGTGCCGTGTTGTGTGTGTGCGCTTCGTACAAATCCTGCGGCAATCGCAGTGTGAAGATCTACGGTATGTTGTGTATAATTATATCTGTGTGTCAGCGGGCTTTGTTTGCGCCTTAGATAATGTCTTCCTCTGTCAGCACATCTCTGCGTTCTCCCACTGCATCCCGGAGATGAGAATGCAATCCACTTAATGCTGCAGCTGACCATAGAGCAGATTGATTTTATGGCAATGAATGTGGCATGCGAGCGTCTTAAACCGCTGACACAGCGAGAAAAAGCAAAAAAAAAAGGAGAAGGAGGAGGCCGCCGCCGCCGGCGTTTGTTTTCTCGTTCAACTGAAGAGGAGTAAAGAGCGTGTGACTTTCTTCGGGGACGGCGCGTACGTGTACTCACAGTGCGCGTCGACCACGTCGAGGGCCGCCGTGTCCTCGGGGAAGCTGACGGCGAGGAGAGTGCGTGAGGCTGTCAGCAGCAGCAGCAGCAGCAGAAGCACAGCTCTCTGGCCCATGGCTGCTCGCAGGCGACGCTTCCTGTTTCACTCGAGCGGAGATGTTACCTGCGAACACACACACACACACACAAAACCCATTGCTTTTTTGTTGTTTGTTCGCGCCGTGTTTAAACCTCCTGTGTGTGAAGCGGCAATGAAAAAAGAAGAAGAAGAAGAAGAATTTCCACGGTGACCTTTTCCCCCCTTTTTGTCATAAAAACCAAACGGAGGCCCTCTCTCCTGCTTATTGATGGCTGAGCTCTCTCCGCTTGGCGTTTCCCCTTCTTCCTCTCGCTGCATCTGCTGTCTATGGGAAGGTCAGCCAAGAGGGCCGGCGGGGGGGGGGTCTCTGCGTGTGTTTGGACGCGGCGGAAGTCCGCGCTGTTAGAAATGTGCCGGGCCTGCTGTCTCTGTACATCTGTGCTCCCGTTGGTTGGTCCTGGGCTCAACACCAATCAGCACATTGCAACTTCATCACCATTACCGGCGTCGCCTCTGCTCTGACCCTGGCAGGCGGCCGTTGGCGCTCGGCCGGCTGCCGTAGCTCGTGCCTCTCCTGAGGGGAAGGCGCGCTTTATTCGCCGAGCTTCGTCTTCGGCGGGGTTCGAGTCACGTTCATTGGTTTTGACGTGGAAGTGTTTTTTCCCGTGGATGATAGTTTGTACCGCATCTGATTGTCGACATGATACATCGGCAGCTACATGGGTAATAATTCATTGTGGGAGTTGACGGAGTTTACTGAGGAGAGCTTTAGAGACAGACTGTGTCTGTGCATATTAATGATCGGTGTACATTCAAATATTTATAAGGCAAACAAATTATTCATGCAGGCAAAGCCTGAACGGATATAAACAATTAACCGGCAGACGTCACACAGGCAGAGGGATGGATTAGCTGGGAGCATACTGTGAAACACACACACACACATATATGGCTGCACGTACATAATCACCCCTTCAATCGGTGTAATGCAAAGACTGATGCATGATGCACGCACACACACACACCAGTATTGACTCCTTTTTCAATTAGCCCCAAAGCACACCTGCTCCAGTGCTGTCTGTGGGCCCTGCCTGCCAAGCCATTAGTGCTTTGATTGATCCGCACAGGAAGCACGGCGGATCAGCGGCCAGAAAAAGGCAATCTATGGGCCATCACTGTAGCCGCGAGAAAGACGTTTTTACTCATAACTCGGTCCCTTTCATTTCTTGAATGAAATGAAAATGTTGGTTTTTTTTTTTTTTTTAAGTCTCCTCAAATCCTTTTTAGTTTACGTCAGTAAATGAGCTGCGATACGCTTGGTAATAGATAAATAAACTAGGAAGCATGGGGCTTTTAAAGACATTAGCGGCCTATTGTCAGTGTTGGTGGATTACATGGGCTAACGCACACACACCGGCTGCACTGCCTTAAAGCCTACATGTTGTTATAAAGCGCACCGTGTGTTTCCCAGGGCATTAATAATCCAATTTTGGACTGAACAGTTCCTGTACGACGGTGTGGCACTAAAGGAAAACGTTGACGGCGGAGATGGAGGCAGCAGCAATGTGTAATCACGGCCATTCAGCGTACTGGGGCCTTTTTAAGAGCAATGCCATTAGGACTACGTAATGAAGGCCTGGACACACTTCATCTCAATTAGTCCGCTCAACAGTTAAATTACGGGTTTGATGTTTCGACAAAATAAGAAGATTGAATCCCACCCCCCCCCCACACACACACCCTAATCTAGATACAGATGGATACACAAACAACCTACAGATGTGCACACAGGCTGCCCGATCAACTGTCAGCAACTTAATATCGACGAACGACAAGTGATGCCGCTCTGAGAGAGAGAGGGGGAGAGTTATAATCCTAAGGAGCCTTTTTTTTATTTATTTTTTACTACCTGCTTCGGACGCTCTCACACCAAGAAATGTGTGGTATGAAAAGCCAAGCAATAAATTGTTGAATTCCTGCGAGAAGCCAGGGACAAGAATAGCCACCAAACCGTATAACAACAGAGGAAACGGCGTAGCAATGAAAGGTAAATAAACCCCGCTGCACATTTTAACCCGGCTGCAGGCTGCAGGCTGCAGGCTGTGCTTCCAGGCCAAACTGCTCACGTGTAAATCATTTCCTCGCTTGTCCAATTTCCGAGACCCGCCCCGTATCCCCTCTTCTCCCCCTACACCGCCCCCCCCCCCTGCCATTCTGACTCACTAAAACATTCAGGAGAAAAACACTCTGACGACAGGCAGAAAGAAGTTGAGCTCTGAATCTCCCATGATTCCTTGCAGGGGTAATAGCCACGCCGCAGAGGCGAAGGCTTTCCTCCAAACCTTTAATGTAAAACAGAAGACATCTAGAGGTCAGCGATCTAAAATTACTTCTCACTCTCTAGTCAGCCCAGCGTGTTTTCTATTGACTATTCCTTTGCACTCTCTGGTTCCTGCCCTCCAGTGTGTGTGTGTGTGTGTGTGTGTGTGTGTGTGTGTGTGTGTGCGTGCGTGCGTGTGTGTGTGTGCGTGCATACGCACATATATGGGCCTCAACAAGCCAAGAGATGTTGGGCTTGTCACGCAACCCAGTGCCATTTAGCCTTGCCTCCCTCTACCTCTGTTATTACAGGCTTCTCAATGTCCTACAACCGCGCACTTTCCCTGTTGATGTTGTTGGCTCGGGCCCATGGTGTTAAACACGGGGAGGGGAGGAGCGGAGAGCGGGGGGGGGAGGTTTGGTGGGTCGCTATTTCTACTGACGGTGGGTCTGTAGCCCAGTTCTGGTAGCCGCTGCTGAAGATTAAGTGTTCCAAGCTTTAAATGACAGATTAACACATATTCTCTTAGCTGTGCTTTCACCGACACATGTCAGCCATAACCCCCCCTGCAACATCTTTTGCAAGGGAAGTCCTATTGGGGGGAATTGGGGCTAATAAAAAAAGGGAGACCAACAACAGCGGTGCGTGAGGTTTCACAGATTGTGTGCGAGTAAGACGGGTGCCTGTAATCCCGGCAGAGACAATGGCCCGCGCTCGAGGCTGCTCGGCTTTTCATCTTGCGCCACACTGAGCTGTAAACCCAACAGTACAGGAACGCAGGAGCCCGGGTGTTCGGTTCCAAGGCATTTTTACTTCGTCACACCTGGCGCATGTATGTCGAAATCTGAGTGTGCGTCCAAAGACTGGATGCGTAACCCTGGTCGCCTCAACTCTCAGCTGCCCCCCCCACCCACCCACAGAAGAGTGAGTCGGCCGGATGATTATTGCCACACGGGCCCAGAAATGATTACGAACCCCCCCCCCCCACACTTCAATAACAACCACTGCCCCTAATCGCGTGCTATTTACCTACGGACCACTTCTGACGGGCTTGGTCGGACTTGTTGCTCCAGAGGGTTTTGGCAGCGGCGGAGGGCCGTGCCACCCTAAACCGTGCTTCCCTCCCCTTCTGCTCCACCTTGGATGGAGGCGGAGTGAAACAGGAGAAAGGCTGTTCTCAGCAGTAGTTCGGCTATAGTGGAGCACAAAAGGGGGCTGAGCTGCAGGTGTGACCAGGAAAACAAAAGGGGCTTTGGGCAAGTCAACACAATAGAGCCCCACCCCCGATCGGTGGACCTACATTCGGGGGGAGCTGTTCTGGGAGGGGGCTCCTAAAAAAGGGGGGTTCCAAAGGGGAACAAAGCAAACCGCACGAACACCCTGACTCCAAATGCCGCACAAAAGGTCAAAGTTGTATAACTCGACAAATTTCGCACAGAACAATCTGGTTCCCAAGCAGCGGTTCGGCCCCCCCCCCCCGCTGGGCGCGCGGTGGAAAGGAGTGAAGGCCGATCGCTGTACGGTTCAGTGGAGGTTGTTCCGGGGTTACAGCCGGCTGTAGTGGAGGTTAACGGCGATCGTTCGTTCTGTGACCCCTGAGGCCGGTGAGGTGAAGTGAGACGCAGCAGCCAGCTGCGGCCGGCTAAGAACCTCGGCTGGTTCCGATGTCGGACCCGGCCACAGTGGGGCGATCCCGCCAACATCCGGTTTGTGGTGCCAGTGCGTCTCTCTGTGACGGACTCCGATGCTCCAGAGTCTCGTGGAAATGCACATCTGTGGGTTTTTACACAGATGTGCTGTGTTTTTTTTTACATGTGTAAAAGTGCTACCGTGGTACAGGGGAATAGCATCAACAGATTTTGAGCACAGACACTTACATTTTATTTAACTGTGTACTATTTGTTTTTTGTTTTTAAATGTATTTTTAAAGAAGCCCAAATGCTCCATCTCTCTTTGCTCATTTATTTCCTGAAATAATGAGGCAGAGCAGAATGATTCCTAAAACTTCTCTCTCCACACTTGCCCCCTTCGTGAATTGAATGAACCATCCCAATGATCTCACTTATTATTCTTCATTTTCTCTGCCTCCAATCGAAGTTTTTCGCTTGGGCATCCTCTCCTCCTCCTTTTGCGCGCACAACCCAGCAGCGCTGCTGGATCGAATGTGCGCATTGTGCGCACTGGAGGCGCAAAGGCATTCAAGGTTTATCCGTGGTGAATCTTTTCAGACCCCTTTAGTCCACATGCAGGACGCGCACAAAAGACAACAAAGACGCGCGGAGGGGGGGGAGACAGCGGCGGAGTGACGGCTGCGATGGGGCTGCGTTTCACCGCCTCCACGGGCACTGGGTGCACGCGCAGGGCTGGGTTCTCCCGCTGCTCTGCCTCCAGAAAGGGTTACGAGCTCTTCTCCGGTTTCATTTTCCAGTACGGGAATAGCATTATGAAATTGCATTAAATGGATTAGAAAGGCATCAGTGAGTGAGCAGGGAACGCGCTTCAAGTCCAAACTACTCGTCCTATACTCGCATGTTATTGTTGAATGCTCGCCAGCGTGCTCCGCGCAATCCGACCATTTACTCAAAATGTCAGAATTTTAAACTTTAATTTATTTAACTCAACGCGGAACAACAAACAACAGAAGGGGTGAGCCATCGGGATTTAAATTAGAAGAAAATAAGGGGGGGTGGCTCTGATTTTTTTTTTTTTGCTTTCGATGAATCATAATATGCGAACATCTGTTTTTAAAATGTAAAATGCTTTACTTTGAAATCAGTGTAATTGGTTCCCTGGTACTGATGTTCACAAAGTAGCTATCCGGAGTGGTGTGCCCCCCCCCCCCCCTTTATATAGGTCCAGCAGCTACACCAAAGAGTGTTTCCAAGAAATACAATTCACCCAATCAATAATAGGACATCATCGACCTCTACCCTGCGTGTCCGAATTCACTCGCGATTGAGGCGACCCGACAGACCGTCATACTCCTTAATAATCCATCTAAGAGAAAACACCGGGCATGTAATATCCCTGTCATTTTGAGCTCCACCAAGACACCCACTTTTCTCCTCCTTTTTTTGTGTGGATCCAGTTGCGCGCAGATTTCAGCTCCGCTCGCCCCAAAAACGAGCTTTTCGACCGGCTGCTCTGTGTCCGTCCCCGGGGTGGGGGGGTGGCCCTCCTGCGCTCTGATGACTGATCTTCAAAGCTGTGCCACGACCACACGACCCCCCCCCCCCCCCCCCCTCATACACCGGCACACCGCCCCCCTTCCACTAGCATTAAGTTTGGAAACCAGAGGCGAAAGAGATAAACATTAACGACGCGCGCTCTGCCTCCCCGCGCGCACTCATTGATTTAAACGCTGACTAAAGACAATCCAGGGCGAGATATCGCACCCACCCACCGGGAAAACAGACATTTAAACCTCTCGATTAACGCGTTTATTTCAGTGCGCGTTCGTCCCAGCAGCTCACTTACTTTTTGATAAGTGCAACTATATAAACCCGTAGTGGAATAGCGCGCAATGACAGCGTCGGCTGCAGGGGAAGCCGTCGAGCCAATAAAGAGGGGACTTTAGATCGGCTTCACCCTCCGTTGCAGCGCGTTACGCGTTGTGCTCCTGCACCTTGTCGCGGGTCGTGGACGGAATGAATGAGGAGCGAATCGCATTAAAGCACCGGTAAAAATAGTCAGGAGCTGGAACTATTTCCGTCCTGCAGCGCCTCGGTGTTGCAGGGCAGCACGGCGACGGGGTCCAAAGGAATATCTTGTATCCCAGCAAAGACTTCTCTCTAGTTCCCCCCCCCCCGACTTTCACTGCGTAATGCGGCGGCACAAAGTACATCCACGTAGCGGCGAGAGACTCACCTCATCTGGATTGCTTGTTTTGTATCCTTTAGTGTGGCAGTAATCCCCCCCCCCCGCAAAAAAAAAAACCAGAATTGCGTGGCGCGCGCGTCGTAGTGAACCAACTTCTCCTGGCTGAGGGCAAAAACAAACTAACGCACGGCGAATGGCGTAATTCGACCCGTGTTAAGTCAATCCAACCAGAGAGAGAGAGAGGGGGAGAGAGAGGGAGCCACAGCCGACCAATGAGGAGCGCCGTCGCTCATGTCCCTCCCCCACCCAACATCTCCCCCCCCCTCTCTCTCTCTCCTTCTACCTTCGGCTTGGTTCGGTCTTCTCTGCTTTGCTTTGGCTTCCTTCCTTTTCTTTTCCAGAGCCCCGAGAGAAAGAAAAAAATAAATCACCCCCCCTCCCCCCCACCACCTCTCCCACACAGTTATCCTCCTATGTGACCCCTTACTGCCCCCCCCCTCCCTCTCTATTCTCTTAATTCCCATCCCCCAACTCCAAGTCAGCAAGAGCGCCTAGTAAAAATCATCTCAGCTGAGTTGCGGCTGCTTAGTAAAACACGGCTTTAGACATGTTTGGATTTAAGAGGATGGCGTTTGAGCCACAATGCTTCTCCTTTAGCTAAACACAGCACCGTGCAAGTGTTTCCTTTTTTTCTAGAAAGAAATATAAAACAGAGTAAAAGTTTAAAATACGTTGAAGAACTGTCCTACCTTTGGACCCCGATTAAAATACGATAACCGCTTCACTCCGGATTGATTGTGCACTATTAATCAAAGTGAAATTGTTCTTCCTCTCAGCTCGAGCACGCTTAGCGCTCGACTACTCGTGTAGGTAAACATCAGCGTGGGTCCGAGGTCAACGTGTGCATGCAAAGCTGAAGTCGCCATGGAACGAACGTGTGAAGTCGTTCCTAACCAGGTCTGCAGGGCGGGACAATGGGGGCCCATTTGCACCCCATTGGAAAAGCAGATGTGTGAGCGAACATCCTCACCCCCACACACACTCACACACACACACACTCACACACACACTTCTTACATCCCCCATTATGAGCTGCGAAAGTGGGATCTGCATCTCAATACTTGCACAGGAAACACTAGTTTGCACTGCTGACCCACTGCTGGGGGGGGGGGTTACTAGTTCTCGATATCTAGGCTCTTCATTTCTATCGCCCCCAGGCCTTCTTACCCCAGCAGAGTCTGCTTCTTCTGGCGTCGCGGGTTTCAATCTTGCACCTCAATGTTTCTTTCAGTCCTGGCTTTCTTATGTGTGATGTCCCTGTACCCTGTGGGGAATGAATCAGCACCAGCATCTGTTATGGTGATAGAGGGGGAAGATGAATGGATCAATTTGTCGAAGATTCGTGCAGACGCAGGTACTGAGTGTCAGGATGGGTGAACATTTATGGATCGGGGGCTGTCTGGTGATTGGTGGCTGTATTGAGCGGTCATTTGTTCCTCGTGAATTGACGGTTTCATCGTGGGTTTAATCGGTGTGTGACACCGTTTCAGTGGGTTTGAAGGGCTTTTGGTGCACTTTTGTTAGCTTTGTCCCTTTTTAATCAGCTTACGGTGTAATTATTTTGCTATTAACATGAATTGTCACTAAAACAAGGATGGTCGAAGGATAAATCACGGCTTTACAGTCTTCACACACTAAAGACATTTCGAAATTGTCTGATGTAACGATGCTAGCAAGAAAGAAACGCTTTATTCACAAGATTGATGCCATGTTTTTATTAGCTCAAGTAATAATCCCTTTCTACCTTCATTTTTGAAAAATTTCTATTAAAAAAAGGGGATTTCTTAAAGAAAATGCATTGTTGGAGGAGTGATGATTAAAGTGAGACACGGTTTACAAATATAGCAGAAATAAAAGTGGAGCAGATGTTTGAAGGACAAAGCTCTCTGTCAATGAGTGCGTTTGGATTGATAGTCGGGACGGACAGATGAGCGTCTTGACGTTGGGAGATGGAAAGATGAATGGTGAGAGTGGGAGAGCGGCGTTGGGTGGAGGGTAAAGGGAGGGTGGACGGAGGACAGAAGGCCTGTGCTACCTCTGAAGCATGTTTCGCTCCCATGGGGATTTGTGCAGTGTGCAGGTCAACCCCATGGGGTGTGTGAGGGTGGGCCTCGGGGTATAGAGGAGAATGCGAGGGCTTGCCCTAAGGTCAGGCCTACCAGAGAGTACGCTACCCTCCGCTCCCTTATTTACTGCCTGAAATGCCCGTACAGATGGCCAAGTGTCAAAGATGGCGGCCAGGGGCTCACGGCTGGGGCTGAAGCTAAAAGATGGAGAGCGCCAAAGGGTCGGATGTTTAGAGCACTTGAGAATATAAAAACCCAGCAGGGTTAAGCAAAAAAAACCCAAAAGGTGCCCAATGAAAAGTTGCCCAGTGGGATTCGAACCCGTCGAAGAGAGCTCAACTGTCTGACGTTGCCGTAATCGCGAACGAGCTCTTCTCTGCTGAGAGCGGTCTTTCACTTCTCGGAACCAATGAGTCGACATTAACGGCGGCGGTGACGTGCTAACTAGCTGAAAGGGCCGCGTCGCTCTGCGGCTTGGCATTGAACGGTCCGTCAGATGGCTGCCTCTCCGGGTGAAGGCAGTCTGGACTGAGCTTCCGTGGTGACCTCTGATTGATTAAGAGGCCGTTTCTGGCACTCGGCTCGGCCCGGGGCACCATTTGTCACCTGACTGTGCAGTCCTGTCGAGAGGCTTTGTGTCCTCCAATCTACACGCAGACCTTTTTTTTTTTTCCTCCTCTAAATCCCCAACTCAGCCCGGACCCACTGGGGCCACCCATGTCAAAAAAATCTGTTCCCTCATTCTGGTGCTCGGCCTTTTGGATGTGAGTAAACACCAAATGGAATGTAGAAAACGCGACGAGTTACAATGCCCTTCAAGTGATGCCGTGTACTGCGTTCGTCTCAAGCGGCTGTTTTTTAAGCAGATTTACAGTCAAACAGAAAAAGCATTGAGGCTATATCATTAGTGGTGCTTTGATTTCTGCAGTGATGCCAAGGGATTCTGCAACTTATTTCTTCAATGTTGTGATTTGAATGAGAGATTTCCAATGTTGAGGCAACAAAACTTTGTCGTTGCTGTGAGTTTCGACAGTTCATTCAGAGGTAATTTGGTATCACCAGGAACTGTGGTAACAAAGGCCGATGTTCAGCCTCACACAAATGTTTAATATTGTAAAGGGAGAGCAGCTGCCTCCTCCAATACGTCCAAAAGCAGCCTGGGGGAAATAATATTAATAGTAATATCATCTATTTACGTCAAAGAAATTATATTTGATTAAAATTTCAGTTTGTCTCTCGAGAACCGTTTATGAGTGATCATATTTTAAAAGTTGAGAGTCACAGATTGTAACATCGACAAGGATACTGATTTGCTTCATAAGCTGCTTTTATGCAAACTGTATCCTAACCAAAGTTCAGAGAAAGGTGACAAGTTTCATAGCCAAACAGTTAAATGTGCCGACTGGATGTAGGACCGAAAAATATATCTGTAATTTGCAGTGAAATGACCCTGTGCCCTATTTGCATATATTGCTCCCTCAGCAGAGATTTATTTTTTGTTGATGAGAGACGGAGGGAAGCACAACTTGCTTCCTGTCCTAAACTAAAGGAAATTACAGGATCTAAACACTGATGGCTGCCACCTTTACTAAAGGAAATATACGGGAAGGTAAGGAATAATATTCTGATATAATGCAATTGTGTTTATTAGAATTTTCTTGGTGAAAATGAGAATGCTAATCATATTCATAGCCAGGGCTGCGGGTAATTTGCTCCCTGTGATAAGATGCGCTATCACTGTGAACTGCTGATGATTGAGTGACACACGTGACATTTCCGACTCATTATTTATTGATCCCGTTTCAGTTCCCATTTCAACGTTTTAATCTGCCCTGCTATCAAGGCGCTCACGCAGGAGAGCTAAATGAAATGTTCTCGCATTGGAGCTGATGGCGACGCAGTTGGCCTCTCTCTTATATCTGAATCGAATGAGAGTGTGTTTCAAAGCCATGCCACCTTGACACTATTAGGACGATTAGGGACAGTACTCCCAGGCCCGAGCGGGGCACTAACATTCGCTCTGCGTGGGAGGGAGGCCATTGTTAGGGGGCAAAAGTTTTATTACTTCTGTTAATGCTAATAAATGCTTCTTCCCGCACACTCGTGCCCTTCATTACAGCATTGATCCCATAACATCTTTCTGCAAATCCATCACTGTAGCGCAGTTAATGAATGCTCCGAACGTAGCAATCAACCGCGTGGACGATCCAAGACCTTCTCACGTTCTCCGTAATGAAGCTAATGAGCAAACGGAGGCGTCGAGGTTTTCGGGGAAGGAAGGATATGACTTTATTCGGGGTGGAAGAGGGTAGAAGCCGGCCGAGGCTGAAGTGTGAACAGGAAAGGAGGAGCCGAGCAGAGGTTGCTCCGTTCACACGCTCCGAAGTGAGGGTCTATTCTTGTGTGTGTGTGTGTGTGTGTGTGTGTCTGGTCTATCTGTCTGGCGCGCATACATAGACAGGCGTGAACATAAGACGCACACATGCAAACAGGTGCCGTGTTTTGTACCGACTGCACGGGGAAACAGCTGTGCGTAGGAGCTTGTGCTGGCCGCGCAGGGAGGTAGCTGTTGCATTTGCCGTCCTTACCACCGGACGCAGCATCTGACACAGGCAGACAGACAGGCAGACACACACACACACACTGAGGGCAGCTGCAAGGTGTCATTCAAGGCCTGGAAGGCCAACTGCACCCGCCGCCACACAGGGCCCACTGTCTCCCGCATGGTATTCGGCGTTTGACCTCACAGCAAGATGAGCCTGTCTCTGCCGTGCGTCCCGATTGAGAAGGAAGATCCTGCCTGTCTGTAAGTGCTCTGAGTGCAACCAGAACAAGGAACACTCAAACCACAACTGCCAGCCTCCAAATATTTACCTGCAACATTAGCCGACCAGCGCAAGACCCGTAAGCTCCAACGCCGACCCTCCGTCCCACCTCCAATCCTGGCCGTGAGTCGCCAGCTAAGTCCTGCTCGCAGCTCGGAGCCTATCAGGGATTTACAGGAAAAGCCTTTTATCCAGCGACTTTCTCTGCGGGCCGGGACGAGCGAATGCCTCATGTCAGCGAAAAAA